CATGTCCATCAACCTTTTGGAATACTACTAATTAACAGTTTAACACCATTCTCAAGCTTTTTCATGATCTTTTTTGGCCATGAATTTTTTTATGATATTTTGTTTAGTTACGATTTATCGTAGTTATTTTTTTTTTTGTACTGAAATGTTCTATCTGGCTTTTTCATAGTGTTGGTGATAAACTTTTAATTTCACACGTGTCATTTTTTTTTTTAGTAGTTTCTCATGTTTTTAAATGTCCATATATATAACAAATTTTTGTTAATACTATAAACAAGTAGATCGGTCTTATTTTTCTGCACACTAGATAGAGTATTAAGTTACTCGTGTGCATAAATACTCTTTAACTATGGAGTCAATTCGGCATGTACGGGAACATTCTAGTGCATGTTCTGAATCAGTCGTCCTCCGCTTAATTCTTATATATATCTTAATCAACCCGACCGAGATATCGTTCTTTAATCTTTAGCCACGAAGAAGAGAGTGAGTGAACGAGAGTCAACAAGAAGTCTCACTTGCCATTAAATTCAACAGTCATAAAAGAAATCTTAATCTATAGTACATATTAACGTCCACAATCATAAAAGAAATCTTAATCTATTCATTTTATTATAATAATCAAAGTCTTAGGCTCCAGTTTTTGTCAATATCTCAATTAAGTTTCATAGTTGTAACGTCGCCTTGAACAATTAATACTTTTTTAAAAAGAATTTGAAACTTCGCCTTGAACAATAATTGTTGTGTTAATTTTATCTGATCCGGTCAAATTTCCGATCCCCACCTAGTCACCGACATATACTGTTCCTCGTTTAATACAAGCTTATGATTATGTTCAAGTTGTTTTTTCTTTTAAGAAACCATCATTTTTCTATCATTATTGTCATGAAAAAACAAGTGAGTTAAAGACAGCTGAAAAATAAGCATAGGCCTATGAAATAAAACAATATTTGTATATAAATTGAGGGAGTTATAAATGAAACGGTGAAATACACGAGAAAGTGAGAAGAGAGTTAAGCAAATACGAAGTGGTACACTCAAAGAGCGGTGGTTATACAAATGCATACGCCTCACGTGAATAAAACTGATTCTCTGTTACATCACTTTTTAACAATTTTGCTCGGTCCAAATTATTTTTCGTTTTTAGGTTTTTATTACTATTTTTTAATATTAGCTGTATAATAATTACGAGTAGTTGAAACTTGTGAATCATTCCAAGTTTAAATTTATAAAGCTAACAAAGTCTACAACTTGTGTTTAAAATGGAATCATTTGCTTATGCTATGCTATCTCTGATAAGCAATTACTCATCTTTCTAAATCTGGATTATAAATCATTAAATGTATCACTTTTTTTTTTTGTTCTTTCGATTACATGTATCACTGCTCCTAGGTATTAAACGCGAATTAAGAGATGTAGATGTACTCAGTGACAAGAGGAAATTTATTCTAAAAAAACAGAGTAAATTTTTTGCTTTTGCAAATATAAAATTCAATCAAGGGTCAATTTGCTGAATAACCAAAAAATATATATATAATTCAAAATGGTACATGTGGCAATATTGTAACCATTAGATTTAGGGCAATTAGTTACTTAGTGGATTATAATTTTTTTATAAGGTTATTAAGCCCAATTTTTCTTCAATGGATCGAAAACAGAGAATAACTTCTTCTTTTTAAAAGCAAAAAAAATTACTGGTAAAGTATTTTAATAGGGACAAGTGGTGTCTACTACATACGGAATAATAACAATTCGAATATATTATATCTAAGTTAGATATATGAAAAAAAGAGGGAAAAAAAAGCGAGTCTACTTGAGAGTGGAGAGTCTATAAAAGAGAGAGCTGAGACAAGAGGCTTGCTCCACTTTTCTTCA